GAATACACAGTCAAACTGGGATACAACTTACTCCTCAAAACAAAGGATCCTGACCCAACGATCAAGAACAGATGGCAGAAGTTATTAGGTCAGGAGGGACGCTAGTCAGATCCCACAAATACCGTGGAAAAAAAAATCAAATCAATCCGTCCGGTCAAAATCAGAAGCCTCCAATGGCTCATATCATATGTGGCCCTACCGGTTAACCAGTGGCTGCATATCAGAAGAAGTACGAACGACCCCAACAGTTCCGATATATGTGCGGTATGTTCAGAAAATAAACCAGAAGATATGCTGCATTGCCTGATACGCTGTAGAGAGGCTTACGCAATTCTGGGCGATGGCCTCGGATCTCTGGAATTCCCTCTTCTCGACTCCCCTCCCTGAACACCCCATCCTATGGACTAACATCCCAGCTCAATTCCACAAGACAGAGAAAACAAACGTGGTTCGGATTCTTCGGAATGATCAGAAAGGTAACGAATGTTCTCAATGATCTGTACAATTCGATATGGGACGCTGGGCCCGGTTTCCAGCACGTGCTGCTCCCCAGGAATAGACTGGAGCACTTGTTTTCGAAAAAAAAAAAAAAAAAAAAGAAAGGTAACGCTGTGGTCCCATCTGGAAGGAAAGGTGCTGCAGAACCATTGAGGGAGGGAGTCTCAACTCCAAGGGAGAAGTTATGGGTGGAGACAAGGAAGGACCTTGATTCAGGCAGAGATTCTTTGGAAGTGGCAAAAGACGAGACACTCCATGCCAGACGACGAAGAGCAACAGAGAAGAATCAAGCCAAAATTCGCTAAGGTGTGGCTCGCAGGGGGCAAAGTAGCAGAGATAAATGGCCTTCGCATACAGTGGAAAGACTGGCATAACTCAGAAGCAGGGTGGAGAAGACAGAGATCCCAGCCAGCAGATGGACAAACTCCATCACAGGGCACGTAATATTGATGGGCAATTTCCGAAAGTGCACCCGCCGCAGCTTCTTTTACCTTTCTTGCGCCTTATTATTCTGCTGACAGGTTCATGACGTGGACCTGAGAGGGAAGGTGGAAGTAAGGCAAGCTGACAGTCAATCCTTCACGAGGCCGGAGTAATCAGTGCTGGTCAGGGGTCCTTCTGCCAGACGGAAGGAAGCGTGAGTGTGTGTCATGATGTAACATTGTATTCTGACTTGCCGGTGGAATAGGAACCGGACTGATGCTCCCCAGAATGGAAATGGAGCCAGGGCCATAAGGTCCCTGTTTATTAAAAAAAAAAAGGCAGAAGAGAGGGATTGGCCAATAAGCATGCTCTAGACTGACAGTCATGCTTCCTTCTAAGAAAGGAAACAATGAATGCCATCAGGGGTCCCCGGGCTGTAACATGAGGAAGCGCCAGGAGTGTGTCAATTATGTATCTTATTATGACTTGCCGGTGGAATAGGCACCACAGTGATGCTCTCCAGAATGGATATGAAGCCGGGCCCTTAAAGGAGCAGTACATTGCCTCAGGCGACTTGAGAACAACAAGAAGCTCCCTCCAAAAATTTTGGAAGCTCAGGGCAACCGGGCCAAAATGGCTGGCGACGCCAGCCAGAACGAAAATAAAGATGCTGCGCTGGCGTTTCGGTGAAGCTTGGTGCACAGGGGGAATCCAAGTAGCCTCGGATGTACTGGTGTTTTAATGACCTGTTTCTTTGTTTTCTTAAGAACTGCTGTTTATGGTGGCTGCCTTATCCCATCGCCTCTTTGTCCATCTCCCTCTTGTCCTCCTCGCCCGGTTCCTTCCCCTCATCCTCCCCTCCTTCCTGTCCTCCATGGAGCGGCGTTGCTGATTGTCGTGGCTGTGGTGGCAACAACACCATTGGTGCTACTAGAGCAGCATAGCAGCAAAGGGAGGAAGAGGCACAGGGAGAAAGAGGAGTGGGAGAGGTCCTCTGTTTCTTCCTTGCTCAACATTAAGTTATTAACTATCGTCGGTTCTGGTAAATTTGGTTTGTCTTACACTCGTAGGCGCTTAGCCAATAGTATTTCGATTCCATGTGCGCTTACTGTGTCCTTGCACTTCGCCGCAATGTCTCAATTTGAGTCAGTGGAGCCTCCTAAGGACAGACGCCAAACATTTCGGAGATGAAACCACAGGCCAATTCCATAAGTTGATGAAGCGTTGCTATCCTTAGCAATGGTTTTATCCATTTTTCTTTTTAAAACAGACAGAAGGCATTATGATCGTAGCTACATTCTATTCTGGGAAACATCAGTCCAGTTACGTCTCAAGTCGTATAGACAATATACAACATACTCCAGTGTTTTCGGCAGAGATGTTGGGTGCAAAGCCATAGCATGGTGGTAGAA